TTGGGCAGGTAATTCCACCAGGAGGGAACAGTTAATGTAAAAGTCTATGAAAGTGATTTTGTGCTTCTTTGAGATGAACAATAAAGCGACGTTCACTTGCAGAACGCAAGCTTATAGAGGCACATAACTCTGAAGTAATGAATTTAGGTAAATGGGTGCAGAGCCAGTGGTGGTTTTGTAGGCAAACATTAATGCGAGCAGCTACTGGTAGCCAGTGCAGATTGATAAACAGAGGTGTGACGTGCATTCTTTTTGGCTCATATTTGTATATTATATATATTTTTTTTTTTTATGAATTAATTCATTTATTAAATACTATATTACATATTAAATAGTATATTATATATATATTACATATTATTGATTTCATTTTAAATTTCATGTTAAATAAAAAGATACTTTGTTTGTGTTGTTTTGAAGTCAGTGTTATTTTGTGTCTCACTCTCGCATGTGTTTCCATCGGAAAGCGTTCCAGGTTGCCACGGCTCCTGATGGTATCCAGGGCAACACTCATTACAGCTCTCGCCACAAGTGTTGTGCTCACACACACACTGCAGCTTCTGTGCAGACAAAAGAGAGGAGCGAGTGAGACACACACACACACACACATCCTCATACATAGTGTTTATTTGAATTTACTGTATTGTATTTTATGCAACAACAAAAAAAATCGCTTTATTCAAGTGATCTACATTTTTACGACAGCAGGCACAATTACAGTGACTTCAGGGAGGCGGGGCTTCAGTTCATATTTGATTGACAGCTTGAGTTCCAATGGGATGGTGTTTGTTGTCAGTTACCTTGGTCACAGGGTCCCAGGGGCAGCTCTGGGCGTGGCCATAACAGATACACATCCCGCCCACCGAGATGTCCTTGATGGAGTAATAATACTGCAAACCAGAGCAGGACAGAGTTAGTCCGTCACTTCAACTATTACTCTATTAACAAAAGAGTACCAAGTCTTGAAGTACCTTTTAATAAAGCTATAAGCCCCAAGAAGCCGTGGTTTACAGTGAATTTATAACAGCTAAGGGGCGTTGTTAGGTACGACTCGAAGCGGAGTAAACCCCCTTAGCTCTTATAAATTCACTGTAAACCACGGCTTCACTGGGCTTATTGCTTTTATAAAAGGTTATTCCATATACGTAGTAAGGTTTCACAAAATAAAACAGAGCAAATAAAGTGTAATGATATTAATAAAAACAGTATTCTTCCACCAAACAATGTAGTTCCTCAGAAACAGTTGTGGTTGCTACAAAGTGGTTGCCGAGCAACAGACAAACATAAACAAAGGTGTATGTTACTTTGTAGAGTCATTTACAACAGCTTCGAACGCGGCTCAACCAATCAGAATCAAGGACTGGAACTATGCTTTATAAAAATAAATGTTATATTAATATTTCATATGAATATTTGAAAAATTTATATTTAAAATGTATATAATTTACAAATTTATAATTTCTTAATTTATGTATATAATTATTATTTAAAATGAATATTTAAAACCGTTCGAATTATATCTTGAAGTCCCTTTTAAAAATCAAGTGATATAAATATTTAATATGAATTTTTGAATATTTAAGATGTATATCATTTAAAAATATAATTATTTATAATTTATTTATATGAAGTACATTTTTAAAATCATGTTATATGAATATGTAATATTTAAAAATGTATGTCATTTATAAACAACTTGTAATTTATTAATAATTTATGTATATAATATGAATTACATCTTGAAGTCTCTTTTAAAAATCACGCTATATAAATATTTATTATGAATGTTTGAATATTTCAAATGTCATTTATAAATGTATAATTTTTTTAATTATTTATAAGTTATATAAATTTCATAAGTTATCTCACACACACACACACTCACTCGCTCACACACTCACTCACCCACACACACACACACACACTCACTCACTCACTCACTCACACACTCACACACACATACACACACACTCCAGCTTGAACTGGTACCATCACTAGTGACCAGTAAAAGGCACATTTGCTCATCCTCTGCACACACACACACACCCAATAGCAGTTGCAGGATCAGTCTACTCACCCTGACTGTTGGGTCCCCCATCGCCCTCTTCGCATTCGGTGAGGTTGTTGAGCATTTTGGAAGCTCGGGCACAGATCCCCTGCTAATGCTAACACTGCTGCTGCGTCCACCAGCCAACGCGTGTACCAGCCTCACACGGATGGAGGAGGAGGAGAAGGCTTGTGGTTCTCTGCCTCTCTCCTCTCAAGAAAGCGAGCAGTGCACTCACTCACTCACTCTCACACACTCACACTCACTCACACACACTCACTCACACACTCTCACACTCTCACACACACACACTCACTCACACACACACACACCCTCACTCACTCACTCACACACTCACTCACTCACTCACACCCTCACACACTCACTCACACCCTCACTCACACACTCACACATATATATATAAAATACTTCAAATGAATACTTAAAGACCATGTTACATGAGCATTTCTGTAGCTCAAACAGAACAACATAACGCAAGCAACACCAAGGTCATGGGTTCGATTCCCAGGAAATGCATGAACTGAACACCTTGAACACAATGTAAGTCCCTTTGGATAAAAGCATGGTGTAAGCCTGGTGATCATTTCATAGTACAACCATCTGAGAACATGACACTACATCTATAAAAGTCTAAAGCCGGTTTAAAGCGGTGCTCCGTACCCGTCGGGTGACGATGGGGTCCACGTCTTTGGGGTCACGGTAGCTGAGGGTCATGAGGTCGGCGTTGAGCGTTCGTATCCTCTGCAGACGCAGCCGGATGAAGCGAGCGGAGGTGAACTCCAGCAGCTCTGGGGTCAGATCATCTGCGCTGGGTCGGCCGTTTATGAGAGACGTGTGGATCTGAGGAGAGACACCTCCACCATTCATTTAATTTGCTCTTCTAACTAGTGTAAGTCTTCGTTTTATTGTTTATTCAACAGTCCAGTTTGATCTTCATGAACTCTAGATGTGATACATTTGTTTCTGACTGTCACTGCATCTGTTGTGTCAAAATGGATGAATCACCCAATAAATGATACAAACTCTTCCCAGCATTCTGACACCATAAAAACAGTGTCACACTATAACAGATCCAGCTGTGACCCAGGGCTATTATTGTTTACTAAAACCATAAAAAACATTTTAGTTACTTGAAATAAAATTAAATATTAAAAAACTTTAAGTTATTTTATTTCAGATAATTGCCAAAGCAACATTTCTCATTTTAAAATTATTTTTAAAGTATTTAAAAAACTAAAACTGAAAAAAAAAAACTAGAGACATATTTATAAAAAAAGAAGAAAAAAAAACATGATAAAATTACTAAAACTCCCAAAAATGGAAACATAACAAAAAATGAACTCATTCTAAATATTAATAAAAACTATAATAGTATATCAATTATGAAATGACTCTGCATATCATAAAAATGACAAAAAAAAAACAACAACAAAAAAAAAAAATATATATATATATAATATATAATCTGAGCAGTGACAAACTTTAATGTGCCCAGGTGTGATCCAGGGCTATTACTGGGCTGAAAAAAACTAAAGTTTTTTAAAATGAAATTAAATAATTAAACTAAAAAACAAAAATTCAACAAAATTACTAAAATGCAAAAATAAAAACTACTTATTTTTCATAGACACTATATGGAAATATTGATAAGAAATTAATAAAAATGACAAAACTACTAAAAAATTAAGTAAAATTAAAATAAAAAAACATAACTAGTGAAAAATATTAGACATTTCCAAAAAGCAAAAACTAATACAATTACAAAAACACAAGGAAATTACAAAAACTTCAACTAAAATCAAAAAGAAAACGTTTAAAAAAATTAACAATCGAAATATTAATAAAAACTAGCATAAATGATACTGTGACCCGGCGCGAGCCTGGTTACCCATCATGCACTGCTCACCTCGCCGTGCTCCAGCGGCACCAGGCGTGAGTAGTAGGATGTGCAGATGACCTCGTCGTCTCTCTTGTAGGTGGGCGGCCCGATGCGGGGCGTGATGTTGTATCGGGTCAGACACTCGGTGTCGCTGGTGGCGTAGTACTGCCACGGCTGGAAGTCCACTCCGTCCAGAGAACGCTCCAGAACCCAGTTCCCGGGCCGCGGAGAGTTCGCCGCTTTGATGATGATGTACGCCACCTGGAAGACCTGCGGGACGAGGGTTAATATCGGTAACTAAAACCATAAAAATATTTTCGCTGCTCGAAAAACAAAACAAAATGAACTGAAATAACATATTTGTAAAAAAATTTAACTTTTTTTTTTATTTCAGTCAGTGGCCAAAACAATATTTCTCATTTTCAGTTTGTTTAACTCTGTACTAAAATAACTCAAAATGAGATAAAAATGTTTTAACAACTTTAAATACAAAAACAATCCTAATAAAACATGACAAAAACAAAACTAAAATGAAAAAGGAATATATAAATGAAAACTAATTCAAAATATTAATTAAACCTACATAGAAAAAAAATTATAATATAAATGATAAAACACAACAAAATTACTAAAACTTTAACAAAAATTAACATGAAAATGGAAAATATAAAAATGTAAACTAATTCAAAATATTAATAAAAACTATATGGACATACTGCATTTGTAAAAAAAAAAAATACAAATGACAAAACACACAACAAAATAACTAAGTAGAAATGAAAAATATAAAAATAAAACCTAACTCAAAATATGAATAAAAACTACATAGATATTTCTAAAAAATAAAAACTAATAAAAATTAAAATAAACAACTAAGTTACTAAAACTTTAACTAAAATGAAAATGAAAATAATAAAACTGTTGTGTTACTTTGGGCTGAAGGACACTCGTGACTTCCTTTTCCTGTCGTCTCAGACAGATTCAGCCGAACATTTACACTATTTACCTTCTAATGACCCTCAGTCTGAGTAAGGACTCTGAAATGTGTGACCCTGGAGCACAAAGCCAGTCATAAGGGTCAATTTTTGAAATTGAGATTTATACATCATCTGAAAGAATTATGACATACTAAGTACATTTACACTATTTACCTTCTAATGACCCTCAGTCTGAGTTGTCTCTGAAATGTGTGACCCTGGAGCACAAAGCCAGTCATAAGGGTCAATTTTTGAAATTGAGATTTATACATCATCTGAAAGAATTATGACATACTAAGTCGAAAATTATGATAAAAAGTCATAATTACGAGATAAAAGTCGAAATTATGACAAACCCAATTATTAGATAATTTCAACTTTTTATCTCATAATTGAGTTTTGGTCATAATTTCGACTTATGTCATTATTATTATGACTTTAAAAGTCAAAATTTTTACTTTAAATTGACATGTCATAATTATGAGATAGAAAGACAAAATTATGAGATAAATAGTAGGGCTGCAACTAACGATTATTTTGATAATCGATTAGTTGGCCAATTATTTTTTCGATTAATCGGATCTTCTTCTTTCTGTTTTTTTTTTTTTTTACAAAAAACACTTCCACATTCTGCCCAATGTCCTTTAAACAAACGTGTCAACTGAATGCTATGAAAATAGTGCTTAACAATTTATTAGACACACATCATAATAAAGATAAAACACAAATATTTTAGGAATGTCAAAAAATTGTTTAAATCTAAAAACGTTATTGTCATTTATTGGGCAAATATCAAACTAAGTAGGCTAGTATTTATTCACATATTAACAAGAATGTCCTCCTATGCCTTCCATAACAGCTTGCATTCTTGCTGGCATTGCTTAGGTACTTTTTGACTGTAATTTTGCGCTGAGTATTAACTTCATTGTCTCGTCTCTACTGTGTTGTTCCGTCTGTCTGACGCGCCGGCGCTCATTCAGTAAAGATTTACTATCAGAACGGACTTTTTTGCAAAAGTGGAAGTGTTCGCGTTAATTTGTTACATTTACAGGTAAGGATATGACCGTAAACTGAAAGTTTTTGCGCTGAGGATGAACATGCATCTGTCAAAGCGCCTGACAGGGCAAGCCATTACGCTAATGCATTAGCTTAAAGATAACTAATACTGAAATTTAAAAAGAAAACTATTTCCAATCATTCTTTTTGAAACACAAACTAATAAAAACAGCAAAAGCACAAAATTACTAAAAATGTAAATAAATATAAAATTAAAATTAAAAATACATTTTAAATATGAATAAAAACCATAATAGTATAAAAACAACACTAAAATGAAAATAAATGAAGTAAGTGCATCATGATAGTCTCTTCTGGTGGTCTTTTCTAAGTCTGATGTGTGTGTTTGTCTGTGTTTACTGGATGCTTAGCAATGTACAGACGAGGACACACACAAACACACATCTCTGAACGTAATGACAGACTTCATCCTCATGCATTTGATCTGCGTTCATGAGATTTCCGGAATCCCCGCATTGAAGAGCGAGTGAAGACACCAGCGGATAGAAATGAATGGAAATGAGGGATTACAGGCTGATGTTCCACTGAAGATCAGAGCAACATTCACTGACAAGTACTTTCATACAGCGGTGATAATCACAGGTTACATGACTGCAGAATTATGGGATGGTTGCTAGGCAAAACAACAACAACTGCTGGATTTTAATAAGGGCAGAAGTAGATCTCTATGTTGATTTCTTGATTGAGGTTTAAAGTCAACATGAAATTGTTCACTAATCATTTACCTACATAATGTGGTGTATTTATGAGTGCAAGTACAATGAGAAAAATCTGACTTTCACGGTGTTATTCTATTATCATTCAGACACTACACTCTTAAAAATAAAGGTGCTTCACGATGCCACAGAAGAACCTTTTTGTCTAAATGGTTCCATAAAGAACCTTTAACATCTGAAGAACCTTTCTGTTTCACTAAAGCTTCTTTGTGGCGAAAGAAGGTTCTTCAGATTATAACAAGGTAAGAAAGAGATGGTTCTTTAAAGAACCTTTGACTGAACGGTTCTTTGTGGAACCAAAAATGTTTTTTCTACGGCACCTTTATTTTTAAGAGTGTATTATAGATTTTGTCATTTTAAATCGGTCATTCATTTTAATTTTAGTTAAGTTTTGGTAATTTTTCTGTAGTGTTTTTGTAGTTTTTACTATTTTATTAATTTTAGTTTAGTTCAATTAAATGAAAATGAGAAATGTCACTTTGGCAACTAGTTGAAATAAAAAAATTGGTTTGTTTTTTAACATTTTATTTTATTATTTTAGTTAACATTTACTTTATTTCAAGTGATGAAAATGCTTTTACGGTTTTAGTTTTAGTAAACTATTATAACCCTGGTACTTCAAGTAAATATTTTATGTCAAAGGGGTTCGACTGACAAAAACGTTGGGGAGTCTAAACTTCACATTAGACAAAATAATCATTGTTTTCTGTGACAAAATAACACACGGTGTCGTCTGGACAAACTCAAGGGCGTCTGGATAATTCAAACAGCAACAGACTGAATGACTTTCAGATAAAACACATCATTCCTACTCATTGTTACTATTTTATCTTTTTTGATGAGTAAAATCCCACCAGATTCACATCAGAGGAAATCAGCTGTCTCGTGATCCCGTTAACACAACCTGACCAAACAAACACAAGTCAAAGAGCCATTTGGGGCCCATTATCGCCTGTGGCCCCCCAGACAGCATAAACACACACCGTCTGCTGTCCAAACACCTCAGGAGAACCTTCAACAGCTGTGTTGGTCCACACACACACACACACTCTCACATACACACACTCTCACATACACACACACAAAGACACTCTCACACACTCACACATACACACACTCACACTCACACACACACTAGGGGACTCCAACACAATATTAGGACTCTTTAAAATACCTTATGACCTGCTCTTTAACAGTGAAAACACGGAAAATTCCATGTTTGGCGGGGAAAGAGTTAAGTGCTCAACTACGTCTTGTGGTCGCTGTAAAGAGCTCACCTGGGCTCCAGCGGTCCACCCGACCCCTCCAGGTGTGTGTGTGTAGGGGCCCATTAGCATGTGTAATCCTGCACTGATGGCCTGAGGCCCCATCGGGGTCGGCCCTGCTTTATGTGTGTGTTTCCCTTCCCCCTGCGGCCCTCAGTGAACACAGACAAAGGCCTGACTCATCCTCACTCCAGACGACAGCATAAAAACACCAGCCGCAAACTCCAGAATCACTGCCACATCGGCGGATTATTTACAGGAACGCTGAGCTTCAGACGCTTAAACGTTTACGCTGGGGAAGTTTGTGGTTATTCAGATTTCTGTGGTTTCAGATGGTCTCACCGAGCTTTTTGGCACTGCTGATAGTGTTGCACATGTATTTGAGACTTTAGATATTAAAATATGAAAAATAAAACAATAATAATTTAGCAGATAGATTAAATGCATTTTAATCATCTCCAAAAAGCTTTTTTTGCAAGTGTCTATGAGGGTTATTATACAGTATTTAACTAAAACTAAAGCAAAAATTAAATTCTAAAAAAAAAAAAAAAAAAAAAAAAAAAACTTACTTGAAATAAAATGTTAACCAAAATAAATTATAAAATGTTAACCAAAATAAAATGTAATATATATTTTTTTCAGTTAGTTACGTCTAACCCTGATGTACTGAAATAACTTAAACTGAAATAAAAATGAATAAAAACTATACAGAGAAAAAAAACTTAATAAAAAAATATAATAAAAGTATATACTAATAAAGGGGGGGGGCAACAAAAAACTAACTAAAATTAAAATGAAAACAGAAAATGCAAAAATAAAAACTCAAAATATATATATTTTTAAAAACTATAACTGCATATCAATGATACTAAAATAACTTATGCTGTCTGCATATCCATGCAAGTTTTCTTTATATTCTGAATTAGATTTTATTTTTATATTTTCTGTTTTCATTTTAATTTCACTTAAAGTTTTAGTAATTTTGTTGTTTTATATAGTATTTTTTATTTATTAGTTTATTTAGTTTTTGTTATTTTACATATTAATGTTTATTAGTTTAATTGCAATTCGTCGCCGTATGCAATTCGTCAATATAGTACTTATAATTTTTTTACTAGTGCGCGATTTTAATCGCGATTAATCGCATCCAAAACAAACGTTTTTGTTCACATAATATATATGTGTGTGTATTTATTATGTATATATAAATACACACACATGCATGCATATATTTAAGAAAAATATATACATGTACATTTTTTCAAAATATATATTGTATGTGTGTGTATTTATATATACATAATAATTATACACAGTACTCACATATATTATGTGAACAAAAACTTTTATTTTGAATGCGATTAATCGCGATTAATCGTTTGACAGCACTAGTATTTATTATTATTATTATTATTATTATATTTAATGAAAATGTTGCCTTAAACTCTCAGAAATAAAATACATTTAAGGGCTTTATATTTTATTTTATTTCAGTTAATGTTTACTTATTTCAAGCGTCACGGAGTGTGTGTGACAGACTGCAGAGCATCATGGTTAGTGGGCTCATGTGGAATAGTTGTGTGTATTATAAACATCACACGAGTCCTACCTGTCGTAAGTCCAGAGTGATGGTGACCCAGTGGAACTGAGGGCCGTTTTTGATGCTCGGGCTCTGCCACCACTGGTTGGTGCCGTCGATGGCGCTAGTAATGGGATGTTGCTCTGTTCAAAAGAATAAAGTGAAATAAAAACGACTGCAAATGTTCAAGAATAAATACTGATGCATCATAAATCAGGTAGGAATTAACTTGTCTCAGCATGTCATGTCAGCACAGATGTCTGATACTAAAGATAAATCAGAAACACTTTACTGTAACGTTGCATTGGTTAACTACATTAGCTAACATGACCTAACAATGGAAAAAAACATTTCTTAATCCTAGTTAATTTCTGCATTTACTAATGCATTACTAAAATCAAAAGTTGTATCTGTTAATATTATTTAACGGATCTGAGCTAACATAGTCTATTGAAATGCATTTAGAATCATCAAAATTCATCATATTTATATTAGTGCTGTCAAACGATTAATCGCGATTAATCGCATCCAAAATAAAAGTTTTTGTTTACATAATATGTATGTGTGCGGTGTATATTTATTATGTATATATAAATACACACACATGCATGCATACATTTGAAAAAAAAAAGCGCACGTCAGACCAGCGCGAGAATGAAACATTTAACCGGCAAGGCTTTAAAACAGATGCAAATGATGCACTGTAGCACGATACAACGATATTTCTTCAAAAGCAGATCGTGGAGACACTTTTATCGTCCACGATCAAAAATCGTCATATCGCACACCCCTATCTGTACCCAAATTTAAGACCTCTTGAAATCATAATTAAGACTTTCTTGTACAATTTAAGACTTTTTATGACCCTAACTTTGATACAAGTAAATTTAAGACATTTTAAGGACCCGCGGGAACCTTGTGTTTTCCTCAAAAACCTTAATTTCTTTTCGACTGAATAAAGACAGACATGAACATCTGGGATGACATGGGGGTGAGTAAATTATCAGGAAATGTTTATTGTGGACGTGAACTAATCCTAAGAGTGTCAGGGCGAATCTCGTTACCTTTGGGATTCTGGCTGTTTGCATCACAGATCCGACACTGAGGGTTACGGATTCGTCTTCCAGGAACGTGCTCCACCAGTTTACAGAACATCTCGGGAAGCGGGTCGCCACAGGAGGCGTTCGTGGTGATTTCGGCATTGCTGGCGAGGTTCAGGATAGCGGGAAACAGACCTGGAATGACAAACGAAGAGCGGTTTAACAAAAGCATTGAAGAGGCATTCGCTCTGAACTGCTCTACTGCGTTTTCTCTTTCTTTCTTTGAAGAGCGACATCCATCCATTCGCCCATGTGTCCGTGTGCCGCCATTCGTGACACAAATAACTACGTCTTGGACAATTGACCAAAGCTGGCCTTTGGTGTGAGGAGATAAGCATCATTACTGACAGCAAAGAGCTCAATGAGAGGGAACCGTGAAGATGAAGAGGATCTTCTTCCCTCCAGCAGCTCATCAGGTCAAAGTGAGCTTTAGAGCAAAATCAGTGCTGGGAGTTTTGTTCAACTACAAACTCATCATGCATTTGATCATTTAGTAAAGTCACGCAAACTCAACTTCAATGCTAATTATTTTACTACTTTAATATGTATATTAGTTATTATAGGATACTTCGTTTTCAGGGTTGTTATAGTTAACTAAATCTAAAACTACAACCATAAAAAAACATTTTTGTTACTTTTAAAAAAGTATTAAAAAACTTAAACTTATTTTATTTTAGCTAGTTACCAAAGTAACATTTCTCATTTTCGTTTAAAGTTGAGTTACAAAAATAACTAGATCAAATTGAAATAAAAATGAATAAAAACTATAAAGACGTTTAAAAAAAATTGTCAAAAAAGCACAACCACTTTCACTAAAATTTAAAAAAAAAATAAATAAATAAAAACAAATCTAAAGTATTAAAAACTATAAAAGTATTTCTCGAACTTTAATAGTATCTCATTTAGTTTAAGTTGATCTACTAAAAATAAAAACAATAGACATAAAAAAAAACTAATAATGTGACAAACACAACAAAAAAAAATCACTAAAACTTTAACTAAAATAAAAAAAAATTGAAAAAAAAAAAAAAAAAAATTACAAAAAAACAATAAAAGCATCTCTCAAACTTTAATAGTATCTAATTTAGTTTAAGTTAATGTACTAAAATAAAACAAATTAATAAAACCATATATACACATTAAAAAAACCACAATGACTAAAACAAACTAAAATGAAAATACAAAATAGAAAAATAAAAACTAATACAAAATATTTTTTAAAAACTAATAATAATAATACAACAGTATCTCATTTGGTTTAAGTTGATGTACTAAAATTAAAACAGAAGCAAAATCAATAAAAATTATATAGAAACATTTCTAAAACAATTACTAATAAAAATGACCTAAAAATACTAAAACTTTAAAATAATATGAAAACGAGATAAAACGCCTATAAAAAAACAAAAACAAATTCAAAATATGTTTTATTAAAGTTACAATAGTATCTGACTGACTTCACAAACACCACTAATAATTAATATCAGTTAAAACAGCTTGAGTAACACAGACGTGTTTCAGACTCGCGGGAGTTTGAGGACTGAATGGACTCCAGCGGAGAAACTTCAAACGCGCCGCAGATAAAGAGACTCTGATGATGACTGAAGTCATTATGCGACTGCAGCGGCACATCTGGCTGCGTTTGCATCTCACAGACGCACCTCTAATCGCTGAGAAAAACACTTTCAAACAAACACATCTGTCGGCAAGAACTTCTCAACATCTTCATACAGCTAAATGCATTTATCCCATTAAGAAAATATGTCTAAATTGAGTTTTCAAGGAAATAAATTAGATGTTTATAACACTACTATGAGTAGATTGACTTCTGATGCACTTTTATTGTTAAACGATGCTATAACTAAATCAACTAATATACTCACCCACATTGAAATAAATAAATATATATATGGTTTCCTGGAAGATTATTGGAGTGTTTTATAGGAAATGCAATTTCAATCTTTTGACTTCAAAACTGCACGTTTAATTCAATGCATTATTTGCAGTTTCTCTGTAATTATTTGCAAAATTCACAAGCAATTTCTGAGTGAAATTTGTTTTTAAAAAATCCTACACCAACGTTTTTCCGAGCAGACCGCATTAACTTTAACGCTCCACACAGAGGTCAGATTTACCCGTAAGCTTCAGAGGGACATGTTTTAGCTGAAGACGACGACAAGATAATTGCTCTGCTTCTTTACCAGCGTCTGAGAGCCTCATTCGGTGTGAAAGCGGGGGTCAGAGTTCACTGTGCGTTTACACAACAGCAGCTCATCACGAGCGACGTCTCAGACCCAAATGACTCTTTCTGGGTGGCTTTCAGTCGGGTTTGGAAAACAAGCACAGAAATAAGGGAACAGTTCGGTTTTTCATTGGATCTAAGAATATGTTTGAACATGAAAGAGCTCTGGAAGAGTGCAGGTTAAATCAAAGAAGACGTGCGAGACATCTGTGAAGATTAACCATCATCACAGAACAAGGATGGGAGGCAAAACATCTCCAAAAAATGAATTCCAGATACGTCTAGCATGTGAAGTTCTGCATGCATTGCTGATGAGATCAGCTCAAAGCATCTGGATGAAGACGCTCCAGGACAGACGAGAGGATCGGCTGAATTTGCATGTGAACAGACTCTGTAATCAGATGTAAGCGGAGCTGATAAGATCCTCACAATGTGATTCAGTCCATTCAGAGATAAACGGCTGATTGGAGATAAAACACTCACAGACGGACGGAAGCAGATAAAGACATCTGGAGCTACAGATGCTGCTTTAAAACTAAATATAATGTATTACAGTATATTTACACTGTAAAAATGTTTTTTGAAGATTATTGGAGCATGTTTTACAAGAAAATACTCTTAGTCTTTCTACTTTGAAATATCATGTTTAATTCAGTGTGTTACTTGCCATTTCTTTGTAATTATTTGTGAAATTTAGGCTACTAGAGGCTGTTTCCTCACCATTTTTTCAATGAATTACAATATATTTTATATTATATTTATTATAATTAAATTTTTTACTTATTTTTAAAATGTATTCATCCATAAATACAGTAAATAAATAAATAAAATAATATATATATATATATGGACATTTTGGTTTAATTTGCGTTATAGTTACAGTTTTAAAGCACACTTTTAGCTTTTTTGTGACGTTTTATTATCATAGATAATTCGTGGTGTTTGTTATACAAGCGTCGCTGTCATTGATATCGCTCATTATTTTCCTCCTCAAACTATCTCCTGAGTGAACTGCGCTAAGATAGTTGTTCTTGTTTTTTTTCTCATGAGCTACTTGAGTAATTTTCCATAAAGAAATCTTTACTTTTACTCAAGCATGATGATTGAATACTTAATAACAATAATGAGTTAATTACACTTTTTAGTGCAAAATACAATAATATTATAACTATTACTATTGGTTTCTGTCCTTGAATGTTCAACTTCACTTTGCAATCACTTATTTCCTGCATGAAATTCAAAAATAGTTTCTATATTTTCACCTCATATCTGTCACATCTTGCAGTTTAACTCTACTAATGTCATTCGAGAAAGTCAAATATGATGCATTGTCTCAAAAATCCATTCGAGAAAGTCAAATATGATACATTGTCTCAAAAATGCATTCCAGAAAGTCAAATATGATACATTGTCTCAAAAATGCATTCCAGAAAGTCAAATATGATACATTGTCTCAAAAATGCATGACTGATGATTATCTGAGCAGCAGATCTTTACATTTGTGTTCTTTGTGTGGGTTTTGCTGCCATCTTCTGGAAAGCATCTGGATGTGCAGGCTGGCCTGTTGAGATCTGACCTCACATGAACTCTTGAAGCTCAAGCTGGACCTCATCACGGTCTGTGGTGTTTTTGCTGTCTTTGAAGGTTACATCATGATGTCCGTCATACCTGAAAATGCACCTAATATCAGACATCTTGACAGTGTCTTTATCATCAGTTATACTTATAATGTTGTTGTTTGTTAATATGTGACCCTGCAGCACAAAAGCAGTGTTAAGTCGCTGGGGTATATTTATAGCATACATTGTATGGGTCAAAATTATCGATTTTTCTTTTATGCCAAAAATCATTAGGATATTAAGTAAAGATCATGTTCCATGAAGATATTTTGTAAATTTCCTACCTTAAATATATCAAAACTTAATTTTTGATTAGTAATATGCATTGCTAAGGACTTCATTTGGACAACTTTAAAGGTGATTTTATCAATATTTAGATTTTTTTGCACCCTCAGATTCCAGATATATATAAGAATGAAGAGTTCAAATGCAAAATACTCTAAGTGCCATTCGAAATTTTCTTCTAAAATGAGCATTTTTATCAGACTCCTGCGTGTAGGTTGAAGGTTCAGTAATTTCACTTTAATGGCATGAACATCCGACCCGTTTCACACCGTCTTCTGCTGATGATACACGGGCAACTTTTTTGAGCAATATTGCTTGGCCACTTTCCCATTGAGAATGGGTAACAAATTTATATTTGGATAATTTCTTTCCTTCTGGAGCATCAGTGAGCGTCTGAACCTTCTGTAATAGTTGTGTTTGAGTCCCTCAGTTGTCCTCAGTGTGAAAAGATGGATCTCAAAATCATACAGTCACTGTTGGAAAGGGTTCAAATACACAAAAGTGCTGGAAAACCAAAGAATTTGTGGGAGCTGAGGGGTTTTTCTGAAGAAAAGCAGGCAGTTTAATTGTTCAGGACAAACAAGGGACTCATGAACAACTATCACTAAACAAAACAAAACAAAACAAACAAACAAAAAAACAGCTGTGGATCATTAGGGTAACAACACAGTATTAAAAATGTAAACTTTTGAACGGGGTCTAAATAATCAATAACATGCATTTTGGATGATCCCTCTTATTTTGGTCAAATAATTAACATTTTGCAGATTCTGAAATCTGTAAACTTTTGTCCTCAACTGTATGTTTCTGATCAGTGTAAGGGTTTGTTCAGCAGGGGGCAGTGGCGGCTGATAAACTGGACTCTTCTGACTGAGTTTTTCCTTCTCTTTCTGTTTTATTTTGTGTTTCAGTGCTTAGCAACCCTGAGAGAAATACACTGATGTTATGACCGCTCCACTAACAGAGACTTAACAGCTGGCGGTGAGACACACGATGCACATTTACAGTAGTTTACATTCTGAAGAAAACAGCCTCTAATGAACGATAAACGTCCTATGCTGACATTTGTGCCACATCCATTACTGTCTGCTAGAGGAGAACATACTGCCATAAAAACATCATGCTTTTTGTTTGCAAGCATCATTACAGCAGGATCTGAGTGTAATTATGCCGTGAAGTTGATTTCCTCTCAGAATAAAGTTCAGCGCTGGCTGCTCTCCATGTTATTAGATGAACACTGAACTGGTTTGGCCCGTTTCTCATCATCAGGTCGGCCTCACGGCACGCTCTGTCTGGCTTCAGTTAAATTCTCCAAACTCTAATAATGGCACAGACACTGTCTGTCTGTCTATCTATCTATCTATCTATCTATCTATCTATCTATCTATCGTCTGTCTGTCTGTCTGTCTGTCTATCTATATATCTATCTATCTATCTATTTATCTATCTCTAGTATTATGTGATTGTGTTCCAGAGCAGGCTGTGAGTGTTTCTGTGGGATGTTGTTGTGTTGTGCAGTGGTTCAGTTCCTCTATATTTATTCCCGTCTGCTGTTTTCGGCCCCTGACCGCTGTGGCTGGTGTGTAACTGCATTAGTAGCTCCTCTGCCGCGCTCTCGTTCCACACACATTACAAATGGCATCTTTATAGTGTGTAATAGTGTGTTTCCTCCCCATCGATTCATCATCCTCAGCCACATCATCTCCCATTCTATCTCCCTTTACTCTCACGCCCTCGTTTCCCCTCGCGCTGCTGCAGAGGAACTCGATGAAGAAATTATAGCCGAGATATTAAACTGTCTCTGGTGAGCACTCGCATCTATTACCCGACACTTACCCACAGGACTTACAAATCACACTGAAAGAGCTGGATGAAATAGGCGACATTTTACATTACATTGTGTACATTGACAAAATGTGAAAAAGAAATGCTCAAAAATGAAATTCTCAGTTAGTAACCATATTTAACTATATTTAGTTATTTTTTCTAAACTATTTTTTTTAGTCACTTTTTTCTCATTGAATATCCATTTTGACTAAGAAAAGCATTGCACATTTAATACATGTGTGGAGTAAGAACATATAAGATACATACGAGCACAGTGCAGCTGAATGATAACGTTTACTTTCTTTAACTTCATGTTGTTATGCTGTTTTGTTTTCAACTGCTTCTCCCATTTGCGCTTTTTACATTGACTATCACTATATAGACTAATACAATCAGATACAACAATTATTTGTCAAATATTTACTACAATATAGGCCTGATAAAAGAGCATTCAATTCAATGTGACCTCACCTGATGAATATGTTCCTTGATTTGTGTTGGATGTTATCTTTGGAATGGAAATATGGAGATTTTATTTGAAAACATCATACTTTTTTTCCTCATATTTCAGGTAATGTTATAAAACTAGCGAGCTAAGCTAGTAGTAGTGCTGACAGTGTCGTGTAAACATGACTGAAGACGAGAAAAGCGGAATGATTCACGATCTGAGCTCCGATCTGAAATTATGGTTCGCTTTCTGATTTATTTTTTATTAAACCGTACAAACATCAAGCCACTATTGCAGTACAGTTAAAAAAAATAAAAGAAAGACAAATAAAGAAAGAATACGCAAATACAAATCCCTTAAGAAAATTAACCATGGTTTTATTACAGTAAAAGTGTAGTAACCATGTTTTTTTTATATAATTACAGTTGTACTACAAATACCACAGTTAAACTATGGAGAGTGTAGCAAAACCATGGTTAATTTGTGGTTATGAACTTGGAATAGTTTAATATACTCATCTAGATCAACTTTGAATAAAGAAAAGAGCGATTTAGAGCCAGACTTTTGTTTATGTATGTGAAATTTAGCTAGCAGGAATCAAATTAATTACGTTATAGGCCTAGGCCTATTTTCCTGTTCTCTTTTGAGTAGTCAAACAATCCAAAGAAAACTTTTATTATTTTTTGGAGTAGTATTAGGCCTATTGAATATGTAAAAAAAAAAAAAAAAAATTTGTATTTTGTTTTTTCTTGCAATTTTATCTTTCAATGTACTTTCTGCTATAATTCAATCTCAGTAT